ATAAAAACATGCTTGACAGGGTTTGTGGGTACAGGAGATTGCGTAATAAAGGGACAGCATCATAAACAGTGGGCGGTATTAGATGTTGATGTAGTCATCCCTACACCGGCATGGACAGATAAGCACAGTTATTACTGCGTTTTTGGAGAAAATGTTGAGCGGAAGCAGACTGGTGATTGGCTGGTGGGTCCACATTTTCGAGCTTATGGAGCTCCTTCCGATGATGGTCTGATAGGAGGTTTATTCATCTGACCAATCACGTGCGAGGTAAACTTGTTGGCCTTCGCAGCACCTGGTTCAAGGGCGGTGAGAGTTCCGCCTAACATGTGTATATTCCGGCTGTCCGGAATAGGGAAGGGGCTGGTGTCTTCCTGACAAGTTTGTTATTCCTTCCAATAACCTGTGGTCTACAATTGGCTGCACATGTGCCAAAGCACCACCGAACTAGAGCCATGCGGTGCTGGAGCTGTTCGTGTGCGAATTTCCATGTTGGTCCGCGATTGTTTTCTAAATGCCATGCTTCCCGATATTATCTCGGCAAACGGCGCTGCTTTCTCAGTCAGCTGTCATGATGACGTGTAGATTAAGTCTCCATGTTTCATCAGTTGGTGGGCGCTAATGCTATCATCACAACCTCGTACACAACTTCTCGTTAGTTCGTCACATACAAATTGAACCTGCACGATAAATACCTCATTTTCGACCGTATGGTTAAACACAATCGCTGAATGTTGCTTCAGGTATCACTGACTTGTATCAAAAACACTCATCACATGCATGTAGTGACCGTGTGAGTCGCCGGTGATTATATTAAGTAAAACGCTACACCTTGGGCAAAGACGGAGAGCGACTGGAACAAACACTTAAAAACGATGTTGCAGTGCATATAAGCCGAATTAAGGTTCTGTTTATCCTTAAAATCCTACGGAGCCTTTCATGAAATCCTCATAGGTCACAAAATGAATCGAAAAGTTGTAATAGTGATATTCGTTGGTGGGGCGTGTTGCATCAAGGGTGTCAATGTCCGTCCGCTCTCTGATATTTAGCCCCAGGATCTCACCACGGCGTACAACGCGCCTGCCACTTTGTTATTTTTTGCCCATCGGCTACGTGTTTTTGGCTTCCAAGTAAAGTGAAAGTCCGCGTGGCAGCTGTGGCATGCATGGGAGTTACTGAACTTCAAAACCGTGCTTATGGAGACCAGGATCGTCCAAGATTGCGACAGCTCGTCGCCAAGACCCCCAAATGTAGCTGGCCATCACAGCCATTTATCTCTTGATCTCCTTATCTGGCCTGTACATCGAAGACGATTTCTGCGATGAGCTGTGCTCGGTTGTAATACTCTGATGGTGACTGGTTACTAGATCACGATCGTGATTTAGTTCTCGAGAACTAAATTCTTGGAATGGTGAGGCTGGTATGGGGCCGTAAAAATTTCCTGCTTCCAGTTTACTCGTACTATGTAGAACATTTTCAGCACCCTAAAGAGAATCCATTCGCTTGGCATACACCTGGTTGCGCTGCCTTAGCCTCCATCTTATCAGTGTCTCTACGAGCACTCTTTGAATACTGCAGATCCCACCGTTGAGCCCAAATCGGGAGTAAGTTGTTTCAGGTCATATCCTTGTGTAAACAAGCCTTGAACGTCACGTGCCTTGAGGTTCTGAAAATGCTTCCCGAACTCTCAATCCTACTTACCAGTCAGCTTACAGCTAAGTTACCAGTGCATCGTGTCCGGCTGATGCTTCTTAAGGTGTTGCGATAACGCGCAAACACTGCTGCGACGAATGTCGGACTTACTTAGGATGGGGAGCATGAGGACTGAATGTTCGAAAAGATCTTACACATAGCTGGCTAATCAGGCACGTTCGGTCAACTTCAGTTTTGCACATCTTACGTTGCCAGGTTACCCGCTTAGCGAAAAAGGACCGCCAGGATTGTTGTTTGGAAATGGGCTTCATTTTATACACAACGGCAGTGTTGACGACTTGGTCATTGTTGGTTGTTCTTTTTACTTGAGACCTATATCAAGGTCAACGAAGTGATTCTGGGGACAACCGGGGTCAGCTGACAGATTGCGACCACTGGCTACCCATCGTGGTCACAACCTCCCATCATCGATTGCGATACACTAAGGTGTTTTGGAAGCGTATAATCAAATGAGGAACAATGTTCCCCGGTGACACAGCGTGTCAATATACTTCTATGATGCCACTTTGCACTCGCGTCCCCTTACAAGCTGCTTTGTCCAGTGGGTTTTGCTACTTCTACAGTCGGAAAAACGACCCGAATATCAGATTTGTAGATAACCCAGAAAAAACTTGCCATACTGGAATCCCACTGAGATAAGAAAGTCTTGATGTTCTTTTCTGAATAAGAGGGGAGACGTTACGCTTTGCGAATATTCACGTTACACCGTATTTTGGAGCATTGCAGGCTCCAGTCATCAGTCATCGATCACCCCATTGACTTGCATGCATTGTGTGACTCATTCTGTAAGGAATGCCTTTGATCCTTCTTGGATGCTGGAGGTGTGTCGTATAATCTACCCGATTTGTTCCACCCGGCACTTATACTTGGAGCCTCACTTACAAGTACGAAGGTCCTACACTGATGCCCGACAAAAATGCTTTCGTTTGCTTTTTCAGTCTCACAATCGGCTGGTCACTGCCGTATGTCCCCAGTGATTTTTCAAGTGCACATGAGTAATGCGATGACTTGCTGATATTGCTGTTTCGAAGAAATCTCGAAAGAAGCCCCACTTACCTTTGGTGGGCCTCGGTGGTTGGCAAAAACTGTTGGCGACACAAGATTCTTCGCATGCGCGCGGGCATCTGATGTATGCTCACATCGACTGAAGGCCCGCAAACCAAGTCGATTGATTTAACTAAATAAACTCCGTCTCGCCAAATGGCTAAGTACAGCGAGAAATGTTTTTACACCGGTGACGCCAGGAAGACACGCAATCTACACCGTTCTGTGGAGATATCCAGGAATCAACCGAAGCCGCTTTTGTAAAATTTTGTCTCATTTATTGTCAACACCCATACACTAGTAGTAAATAATGATGCTTAACTGCCACTAACATGGGAAACAGCCGTAAAACTGATCAGAATAAAAAACGAACGGTAAAGACTTATTACAAACAAAAAATAGTTCAGCTGTAGCACCCTTTCGGTGCCTAACTGCCATGCCCACAAAAACAGACATGAGTCTTGATTTTCCAAGCCTAGACAGGGGAAGTCGAGAGGCAGAGGTTTGGTTCGAACCGCTGGCCTTCCGGTCATTAAATTCGCGCTCTAATCACTGAGGTGCACACAGTTGTGTCCCCATGCAAAGCAATCAAAAACAGCAACGAGGTGAACGCACCTGAATGTGAGACGCCATCGTCGAGGTTGACCCAGTGTCGTTTGCCAACCTCACTGGAACTTTACTGGACTCGATTGGACCATATAACTATCAGTTACCAATGGAGAGCCTCGGTTAAGGATTTTCGTTCCTTCTGAAGTACGCAACTTGATTCTGATCATGCCATTGTGCCGGCCCGCTTAGAACTTTGCTCTCCGCCAGCATTACGTGTGCCGAAGGAGAGCTGATGCGTTCATCAACTTCGATAAGTTTCAGTAGCTGGGGAGTATCGATTTGATCTGGCTAGAAAGCTACGAGAAATGCACAGTCATGTGGACGACGACGATTGCTTGGAGGATGAATGGAGGCGAGTTAAAGAAGCAATACTATCAGCTTTCAGAATTGTTTGTCCAACCCATCTGACTGGACTCAATGGACACTGGATATCTTCGAGATCAGGAGAAAAAGACGGAACAGCAATTCACTCCTTCAGTCGCCTTCTTGAGCGGTGGGATGAGCACTTCCAAGAACGGTTCACCTGGTCTTCTTTAACACAACTGCTGGAAGAACCAAGTGGGCCTGAATGGAGCATTGTCACCAACGCACCATCAACATACGAAATTTAGCGTGAGATTTCAATCGTGAAGCTCGACAAGGCACCTGGCCCGGATGATGTACACCCACCGCTTTTCATAGATGGTGGCGAGGTCCTGGTGGACAGTCTGACAACCATACTGAAAATCATTTGGAACGAAAACAGAATACCAGCCAAATGGACCTCCTCGACCGTCATCCCAGTTTTCGAAAAGGGAGCATGTGAATACCATGGTGGCATCAGCTTGATATTCGTCGCACATAAATTGCTCTCTGGTATTATTTCGCGCAGGTTGATGGATTATGAGGAGAGACAGATTGATGAGAATCAAGCTGGTTTCGCACTGGTCGGGGGTGATCGACCATATCTTTACCTTGAGACAAGTTCTTGAAAAGCGCCACTCCCTCAGACGTCCCACGTTAGTCGTTTTTTTGGATTTGAAAGCTGCTTTCAATTCTGTCGGTGGTCAGCAACTTTGACAGTGTCTGGCGATCAAAGATGTCCCTTCCAAATTTCCCTCCCTTATGAGGACGCTGCATGCGAACTCCCCTGGGCGCGTACTAATATACAAGAAGCTCTCGCCTGAGTTCACCACGTCCACTGGTAAAAGACAAGGCTGTCCTCTTTTCCCTTTTCTCCTTAACTTTTTTTATTGATATATCCGTTGAAATTTCTCTGACTGCCTCTGAAACCTCGGGAGTCGATATGCTCCCTCACAGGCATTGGGGATACAGACGATATTGCTCTGTGTGGTTCAAATCCCACTCAAATGCAAACGATTTTAAATAATCTAAATAAATCTACCGCACGGTTTGGTATATGCTTCACACCTGCAAAGCGTAAAGTGTTGCAACAAGACTGGGTTGGACCAAACCCACACCTCATGTTTGCAGGTGAGCCAATCGACGTGGCAGATAAATTTGCTTACCTGGGCAATTCCGGTGGTTGGTGTTCCTTATATTATTATCAACATCGACAACAATACTAGTTGAGAACAGTGGTGTTTCACTCCCATACAAATGTCAAATTTATTTGAATAAAGCCTTACAACGGAGATATGGATGAATTGAGGAAGGGAAGGGCACCTCGGGTTGGCCTATCACAAACATCCGAGGTGCGTGCGCTTCCAGTATTCAGGAAATCTGGATAAAAACTGGCAACAGGAACGCCTCTGTCATTAGCCATCAAATAGTTCATTATCTGTAACAGAGTCTTGTGGGCCCCATCATCGAAGACGAACCGCATGCACAACGCCCAAACTATGTCATTACTATGTTCCGTTAGATGTCTCAGAGGGCACGAATTGTTTAACTTCCCGATTTCGCAATCTCCTTACACTATCAACATTCTGTAAGTAGCTCAGACGAGCGAAGCTTCCGTCTAAGAATTCGTTTCTCATCATCATCAACCACTCATGTTCAAACTGACGGTCTGGAAGTCGGGTTTAAGACCTCCCAGACTTTCTCGAGGTATACACTGCTCATGATTCCCAATGAGGATGAAACATCTGTACAGTGCTCCTCGGCTTTTCAGCGTAGGTTGGCTTCACCAACAGGACGAAATATCCATTGAACATACCCAAAGTTTTGCGATAGCATCTTTATCAGGGTTTTGAGGGCTGAATAACTCGAAGAAAACACTTTGGAACCTGTCGACTGGACATCAGCCTTTGAAGGAATGCCTCTTCTACCATACTAGCACTTACGAGCTAACTCCTTGACAATTGGTCGTTGTAACCGGACCCCATTGTGATGCTTTCAACGTGCCTTTTGTGATTCCGTATTTCTGAAACAACACACCCTTGAGTCCCGAATCATTTAATGGTAGCCCTGTCTTATCTGTTCGGCCTCTAAAGCTGAACTTTTGGTCTCTAGCAATTTCATCTTGCTCTTGTACTCTTTCACGCTATTATCAATAGTTGCAGTTTTGTGTTGCTTTTTTCAACCAAATATTTTCTGGTATCCGTTCAGTTCGCAATGGGCGATGATGAGGAAACTGACCTTTCGTCCACCAACGAAAAACAACCAGTTGGTGTTGCTGCGAAGCAGTTTGATTATATGAAAATATTTGAAGAGGCCCATTCACTTGCCAAGGAACGCAATTATGCCAAAAACACGGAAGTTCTGTCAGGTTTGTGTGATTTTTATTTTGTATTACGATGTATGTAACAGCTCAAACATTGGGACCAGAGCAGCGTGAAGAAGTCAGTCCGCCACGTACGAAAGATGATGAACACGAAGCAGATGCAGGGGAGATTAAATTTCCACCAAAAGAAATAGACCTTGACACTAGAGACCCATATTTTCTTCCAATAACCGACATGTTAGCTCTATGTCACGGGACAAAACCACTCACGGCACTAGGTGTGGATCCGTCCGGAGCTCGCGTTGCTACTGGCGGTTTCGATTTTGATGTAAAACTTTGGGACTTCGGTGGTATGGACAGTTCATGTCGAGCTTTCAAAGCAGTACGGCCTTGTGAGGACCATCAAATCAAACATTTGGAATTCAGTCCATCAGGTACGTATCTCGCGTTTTGTTTGGGGGCACGACTTAACTTTGACAATCTTGCCAACTACGTGTTTGGAAAGCCAAAGATTTCTATCAATTGCCATGTGCTGACAAGTGATATCGTTATTATCTTGCTAGATATGTAACCTATCTGGAATTCAGTGTTTTGCCCATCGCTGTTCATAGATGGACGGACTGTCCGTCTACACAACTTGCCACTATACGCTTCTTTTTATATAATAAAGGGACATCATCATCCATCACTTTCATCTAGGTCAATCTTTATGCAGTCTTTGCTGTTTTGTGAGGCTTGTAACTGATTTTTATGTTTGTGCTCAAAATGAGGCCCATAAATAAGTAGTTCTCTTTATAGTTTAATTGCAAGAGACAGTTCATGTTGTTCTCACTGAAAATCAACAGCAAAAAGGCACAGTGCGCATTATTTCAGGTACAGTGTCCTAATTACTGCTTGCGTGATTTTCAACATTATATCATCAGTATTAGAATTGTATAGCTTCAAAGGCAGGTTATTCGTTGCATATGTTCATCCCCCTGCAGACACTTATTGTCATATTTGGGCGATCACGATGCCTTTGTACTTTGAACTATCCAATTCTTCTCACTTCTACTTATTTCAGTTTTTCTCTTCTTCCTTAACGGAAGACCACACCCCATATAGTTGTTTTTTTCTTTCCTGTGATTACGTTCTACGCAGGTGCTTTTATGAAGATTAAAATGTGTTACTTATGAGCAAATTTGCAGGGACCAGTCGGTTCCCCCTAATGCCATCGTTGTGAAGCACATCGGCTACTATCAGCTTGTTCTGAGCTTGAGGACGTTATCCGATTTTACATGCAAGACCGACGGTCCTGTCTTTCTGCTGAATCTTTCAGTGCAAAGCTGGGTACGTATGGCCGACATGAGAATCATTTAGAGGGCATTTTTGACTAGGTTCCTAAAATTCTAGCGCCTGAGAAGCTTAGATGGTTTTCATTCTCTCTTCCAGGCGAGAACTTACTTGTCATTTCGGGTTCTGCTCAAGCTCATGTGGTCACCCGCGATGGAGAACCGGTGTGCTTCACCAACAAGGGATTCCAATATATCACCGACCCTGCAAGTGCTAAGGGCCACACGCATGGTTTACATTGGGGCTGTTGGCATCCACTAGATTCATCCAGGTTCCTTACTTGCTCTCAGGACGCTACACTCCGTCTATGGAATATCGAAGATGCCGAGACTCTGATGAACGAAACTCGTATTCCAACTCACAAGTCGGTCATCAAACCGCGAACTTCGCAGGGTCGGAAGGTGATCCCGACAACCTGTACCTTTTCAAAGCGAGTGGAACATTTATCACTTGAACTTGTCTCTCATTTATGATGCCATAAGGGATTATACGTCGTAGTAGCCCTATAAATAGAATCAATCGCTTTTCGGTGTTTTCCCCCTGAACCAATTATGCCGTTTTATTGATACTTATCGATCGCATTCGTTAGTTTCTTTGTCGTAATTACATCCTTACCAGTAGTCTTAGCAGATTCGCTCTACTCGTAGGAACCTATTGTTCATAGTTCCTGTTTGTGTGCACATGGATTGGTAATTGCTGGATTGTGTATGAACGATCAGACTACTTTCTGATGATATGAGTGAGACAACGGCTAGTTGAAACAAGATTCTCACCTGTCCCCTTTTCGATAAAGCCAAGTTTTTTTACACTCTTCATTTATGCGTACTTCTTAATATAGGGATGGACAGGTCATCGTAGCTGGCTGTCAGGATGGATCGCTGCAAATGTGGGATACACGCAAGTTGTTTGTAAACACATCTCAACTTGTGCGTGAAGCTCATCCTCCGAATACAACCATCACCTGTGTAGCTTGTTCATGGGACGGAAAACATTTGGTAAGCCGAGCTGTTGATGACACAGTCAAGTTATGGGACGGACGTGCGCTCAGCAAGGGACCAGTTCATATCGTACGGGATCTACCCGCATTGTTTGACCAGTCTGATGTCGTTTTTAGTCCGAACGATCATGTCGTTGCCGCTGCTGTTTCAGCCCCCCGAGGAGACCAGAAAGCAGGCCGGATTACATTCTATCGCAGGGATAATTTCAAAGTGAGTACCACGGGTTCTTTAGTGATGGCATGCGTGGATACAGCATGTACTAAGCTCGGTGGCATTTCCAGTAAATTTCCCTTGTCCTATGCGGGCTTGTGGGAGAAAACTGTAACGAAGGATGCTATGCACGAACTGGGTGTTGCGATGCTTCCTTGTGGAGTTTGAAAATTCCTTTGGTGGTCTTCGAAAACTGACAGCGTTGTGAGAAAATTGAAAACAGACTGAAGAGGCCTGTGTAACATCCGAGTACTCTTAAAAAGTGTGTGATATCTGATGTACCTAAGAGGGACATAATTGCCATACAGTGGTTCCGCCCAAGCCAAACACATTCGGGAAAAATCGCCTATCCATTGGAGGTAGTTGCTGTTTTCGGGTGTGAGAGGATGACCTCCTTTCGTGTGAGGGAACTAGAGGCTCAGATATTCGATTTTATACTTTGAGCTGTATGATATCGAGGTGCGTTTCAAGGATGGTTCACTGAATTTTATTCATTGTTTATTGAATATAAGTGAAAATGTGCAATCTTGGGGCCCCAACGGAGACAAGCCCCAGAACGAGTGCTCTTCGGTCATCCAGGCGTAGTATTAGTGCACAGGTGATGATAACCATAACACAAATCAGAAGGTGAATGTGCACTAATAAAAGCTTTCAGTATTTCTGTGACGCGTATAAAAATAAATACAGTGCGAATATGGGAGCAGGTCAAAAAGGGAACTTATCGGATGCGAGAGTCCCTTGGTGGAAGTCCGGACGGCGGGAACGTGTTTTCTCCGCAGTTTGGCTGCTACACGTGTTCCATGATTGTCCGTGGACTTGTGGAGAGGTTGACGTCCTGCTCCCTGCGCGCGCGCGAGTCTGTGTGTGTTGACTGGGTTCGGTTTGCGTTTATGTAGGTCCCAGTGCGTGTATGTGGGCGCGTCGGCACATGATTGGTCGCTACGCTGACTAGGCGGTGCAGACAATCGATGTCCGATGAGTCAGCTTAATGCGACGTGTTTGCGCGTATGAGAAAAAAAAGACAAGCCTCGCGATCCAGTGAGCGACTGTGAGTTGAACAGTCAAGTGTGTGGGTGACTGGGTCGCTACAGTAGCACCTATTGGCGTCATCGGTCGATTCCGTTCGTTCTGCGAAGATCTTAAAGGACCACCTCAACCATGCTGGACCATGCTGTGTTCATAAACAGGGTTCTCCGGCAGTGTAAGAAGACACGGGATCGGGGGATTCTTTTCTCTTCTTGGGGAGATTCACGTTGTACAAACTACTTTTAATTGCCTTCTTGCCTCCAGGAAGAGACCACGCGAAGATGATCACGATTCTTTTGATGGGTCTCTACGGAAGGGGGCAACCTTACTACTCACATGCTTGCTAGACCTACTTCATCTGCCATTGTCAAGCTTATTAAGTTAACATTTGACCTAGCCGTCTTTGAAGTTATAGCAATATCGGCTACCTTAAAAAAACCGAGCTATGCTACCTTTTTCTCAGTTATTTCAGAGTGCGTACCAACCTCATTTAGTAATCGAAACTGCACATTGGTTCTAGCATCAATGAAACCTGCAACTTGTCTACGGCTTTATTCATCTTCTGTTTCAATTTGGCAAGCCGTTCTGTAGCCCTATGAATTTATTTACACTTTTGCTCTTTCAAGATCTATTTCTCACTTTGTGTGTGCGGACGCAGGTATCTAGAACGTCCTCAGAAAAGACCACCCTTTACAGTCGAGATGTTGAAATTCCAACACGGTGGCCCGTAACCTATCTTGCCTCACGGGTATCAGATTAAAGAATCTGACTCTTGACCCATAGTTGTATTGTCTGGATAGGGTAGCAGCTGATTGGACAGCAAATCCTATTTCAGATTTTCAATTGTGCGAGCATGTTGACAAGATAGGTCCGATACTTTAGGCTTTATCCCTCGTTGTAAGGGACTGAAAATGGCTTGTCACATTTTCCCTTATTTCCTGACGGATTTCGTTTTATTTCGACGGCAAGTAACGCTGGCTGAATGTTACAGTTGACGGGGTAATATTTCGCAGCGGATGTGCGTGACTTTACATTAGTCCTTTGTGAATCCACCCAAAGTGTGTTGAAAATGGATATTCAGTTTTTGCTGGAATATCCGTGAATTGTTTTTATCAGGACAAAATGCAAGAGAGAACTTCTCTCCAACAACGTCACTCATCGTTTTCAGCCCTGATGAGGTTAAAAATGGAAAAGCTGGAGATAATATCCGCTTTGTTCATCAGTGGTTGGCGGATCTCACACAACCGACACTTATTGGTATTGGACGTTATCTTGTACATTGACATACTTTTTGTTCGTAGACATTGCTACCAATTTTCCGTGATGTTTGCGCTCAGTGGAAGCTAGAAACGCTCCAAAAATACTCTTAACTCCTTAACATAAAGCGTAGCCTAAACGCTGGCGTATTTTTTTCGTGGAAGTATGTCATGTTCCGAATCGAGCAGTGCGCACTTTTGGGGCTTGCAATAATCTGTTTTTCCGGTTGTTTTATTTATAGTGGTCTGTATACGTGTTCTGATAGGTTGCCTAGAGTTAGGTTACTTAGAGGGCTTTTGTACTCATTGTGAACTGCAAAAGTGTTTTCACTAGCTGGTAATTCCTCTTTCAACACTGAGCTGCACAAAACCCTTATTGATTGCGATGATCTCCTTACCCATTAGATTCCGACTAATGTTTGTTCTGTATTTTTTTTTACCGTGATGCTTATCTAATCCCATGTTTTTACAGCTTATGGAAGAAATCAAACCGGAACATGGTAGTGTAATTCGTATTGCATGGCACCATCGTATCAATCAGCTTTTTTGTGCCTCATCTGATGGAACAGCGAATGTTTGGTACGACCACCAAGCCAGCCACCACGGCGCACTACTTTGTGCATCCCGGCAGGCCACAGCAGCAAGTCGTAGGAGACGGCTAGGTGGCAGCGAGGCCTATATGAAACCATACCTACTTACATACAATGAAGATTCTGTACGATCGGCGCGCAAAGCCAAAAAGCTGCTCAATCAACCTGGAATGGAATCTCAGATCGCTTTGGCAGCAGTGACAGCACCGGTCCATGCAAATCGACAGGCTGCGGCTACTTTAGCCAACCAACAGGCCAGAGCTCGTGCTCCTGTGCAGGAGGAAGCGTTGGGCAATCGGGTTGGCAGTTTGCATCAGTACATGGTCCAACAGATTGTGCTGAAAAAAGACGAGGCCGAGGAACGAGCTGAGAAAGACATTCGTGGAGCGATACTTCGTCATGCAGAGGAAGCAAAGTCCAAACCATTTTGGACCAAGGCTTATTTAAAGTGAGTTTTTAACAATCTTTATTTCTCATATGATCTAATATTCGACCGATCAAGATTGTGATCTCTGGTTACTTTCAACTTTTCAAGTCCATCTTCGTCAGGAACAGACCTAAACGTTCTCTTGATGTGGCAGTTTGTGTGACTCCGTGACCCATTGACTTATACTTGGAATGGTCAGTATGTCATTCGTGGATTGTCATACCAATTAAGTCAGTGGACATAAATCAGGCTTCTATAGTCTTCTGGCTATCTGGGTTGTGGATTGGAACACGTACGACGGCTTGTTCCCTAAAATTCGGGCCAATATGTTGGTCTCAAGTCAACTACCGCTGCCTTGTGGTCAATCCCTTGAACCGAATACCCTAGACGGAGGACCTGTCTAACTTTTGGCGTCCTGATGGTATCTCTGCTCCGTACAACCATAGAACATACTGATACCAATAGCCCAAGTGGTTAGAGCGCAAATTCACTGACCGGAAGGTCTATGGTTTGATCCGGACCTCTATCGCTTGACTTCCCCCATCTAGACTTGGGCAACCTGGCAGTATCCCAGTTCTCGTGCAACCTTTGGGTGGCTTGGCAATTAGGCATTGAAAGGGTGCTACAACTGAACGATTTTTTTCAACATTCTGTCACATTGGCCGTTCCGTTGTATTGTCAGTCGGATCACTGTACATACTGCGTAAAGAAGAGAAATTGAATTGAAGAGAAGTTGAAATCAGGTTGCTGGTGATACCTCTCGTCTTCGATATTATCCGCTAATTTCATTCATGCCTCATCTGATGATTACTGCTTTGTTGATCCAGACAGTAAATATCGGTTTTTAACCCAAGGAAGTGACTAAATTCACAACACCGCCTTACATCTGCTTCTCAATTCTTTTTCCTTCGTTTTTAACCAAACTTGTTTGAGCTTTGAAGTAAACTGGCCGGCAGACTACTCTAGCATACATTTTTGACACTTAATTATTGAATATCTGTTGCTTTTTCAAAACTTTTATGCAAGATCTAACTAGGGTGATGGATCTTACCGCAGCTTCGTTTTCTACACACATCTGTCTAAGAACCTCTGATAGTTCTTCGAATTCTTCAGCTGGTTGTGTTTGCAATGAAACTCGCATCTCTGGAACTGAATCTGTCTTAGTTGAGTCCTCGTAAACAACCGCCTTTGTACTGGTCGTTTGTCAGTTTTCTTTGGAACCCAAGTAGGATATCTCGACCCACCAGATGCACGATTTTATAACCTATTCAGCTTGGACTCAAGAAATGATGATAAGTCGTTCAGCTGTAGCACCCTTTCGGTGCCTAGCTGCCATGCTACCAGAAGGAAGCACGAGGGCTGGGATACTGCCAGGTTGCCCAAGCTTAGACAGAGGAGTCGAGTCGAAGTCGGGTTCGAACCACGGACCTTCGAGTCAGTAAATTCGCGCTCTAACCACTTGGTCCATCTCTTTCCAGGATTTACGTGGCTCTTGCGTGTGCATATATAGTCATATATAGTCACATTATAGTCTACTCGCCCAGGTCGATTTCGGCCGTGTGGATGAGTGCAACAACCACGGCATTCCCAGCTTACCGCACTTTCACTCAGAATACACTGCACTGATGATTTCATCTCGGCTGGTGACGTAACGTTTGCAAACAAATTGCACAGCTCAAAGAACTTATTAACAACCATCATTACAATCTGATCTGCTAATATTCTCTTCAGTTGCATATCATTCCTTGTTCTCATACATTTTCTCTGGTTTGCCGTCCACTTGCTTATAGGACGCAACCTAATCCTGTTTTCTACAACGCAGATGAAGAGGTGAAGAAAGACGATACACCCGTTTGGAAAAAACAAAAGCTGGCGTGATTTATTACCTCGTTTTCTCCCGCACAATACCCTCCTTTTTGTATATAAATAATAGTTTTCTGTGTGGGAATGTATACTACATTGAATTCTCTTTTACGAAAACATACAATTTGAAAAAGACGTCTACAAGGTTATCGATCGTTGAACCTCTCCCTGCCACGGGTATCCTCGATCGCCGAGGCTTGGGTTCACCCATTTTACGGATGGGGAACATAGTATTACTTAGAAAAATAGACGATTTTGGTTCGGCACACGGTTCATCACAGTTCGTACGAAGTGTTAATGGGCCGCGTTCTTTTATGCTGTTTACATGAAGGCGGTCGGCGTTTTGTGTCAATGTTTCGTTGACGGGCTGAACAGACTGTATGGATTCAACTTGTCTTCCTACCATTTTTGAGCTGTTGGGAAAGAGAAAGAAAAGTATGTGAATGTTAAAAACGATTGACCAGCAAAAACGTTGAGGACCTCTACCTATTCTGCTTCGGTTACACGAAATTGGATTGTCAGCCTTTGAAAGCGACCAGATCAGGAATTAGAAACCATCGGAATCTATTTGTTACGTTCATTTGCTAGTCGTTGTTGGATAATAGTTTTCTCATTTCCTTTGATCGGGAATAGCCTATTTGATGACATTGTTTTTCATTTTACCATAAAGGTGGAGTTAGTCTCATTAGACGATGAGCCCAAGCCTAGCATAATGCTTGCACGACGGTTCTCGCTTTTAGGAGGTGGCAAAGTGTTTGAACCTCTCATACGCTACTCGTCCCTCCCGAACATGTTCCTAAGGTCTCTGGTTCTCGGAACTCCTCTTTTTAAACTCATGATCATTCTGTTATTCAAACTCACCGTCTCCCTCGAATGTTGACTGTTGATCCCAGTATGGGTCTTCCTCGATACCATGCCTTCCCTGGCTCATTCGAGCTTGTACATACTTCACGTCTTTCGATTCATCGTGAATTCCTAGTTGTCCACCCGCGGTTTTCCTTCCAAAATTCATTCCACGTAGTTGCTCGCGTCCCAGAGGCACGAGCTAGTTCGTAACAAAAAACAACTTCCGGTTAGTGAAATAAACTCATTTGCAAAAAAAATTGGTTTTGCGAGAGAACCCAGCTAAATAAATCGTTTTTGGTGTTTCTAGGCAATCGGTCAATTATTTTCAACCCTGAGCTCTGCTCTATGTAATGGCGAGATCCTAAGGGCACTGTAAATCATGATGTATATATATATATATA